CGTGAGTATATTTGTTCCTGTGCTTGAATTAAATGATGGTATATTCCTCTAAACATGTAACATCAGCCTCCTAGGATCATTGGACGTAATGTCTGGCGACGTTTTAGATCGCAGAGATGGAAGGATTTTGATCATTTTTAAATTTCTTTCAGGTGTACGAAGCTTATAAAATGGCAGCGCCTTCGACTTCGTCTTCGAGCGAGACTTGCAAGTAAGTCACGAGCTAAAACTGGAAATAGTGAATGCTGGAGTCTTCTGCATACTCTTCTCGTCTCTTGTACCGTTGCAATTCTCGATTTATTGCGTTCATCTGCGGCTAAAAGCCAATTTTAAGCCTGTATTATTTAATTTAATTTTATTAAACCACAGGCGGCCCAGACGTAGTATGTGTCACTGAATGAATATATTAATATCCACATGGACAAATTAATGCGACGAGTCGTCGAAACTCCTATGAACTAAAATAGTCCAAAAGTCAAAATATAACAAAACAAAGTTAAGATACCTTTAACTGAACGTATCCTTGTCTTTCCTGGCCGGTTAAAGTGGCATTTTGTTGAGTTTTGAAATTGTAGGTACTATCCACTAAAGAAGAATTAAAGGCTGGCTACAAAACAAACAGACCATCTCCACGCGCCTTCACACGAAGCGCTATAAATTCGAGAATAATCGACGAACCCGCTCCAAATAACCATCGGCTAATCTGCAGGTAACGTGTGCTCCGGTTCCTTGCTCGCTTGCTCCACAAAACCCATCGCAACTGCACAATAATCGCTCGCTCATCAACAAACACTGTTGGCCTTTACGCTTCGATATGACCGCGAACGACCAGGTTTAATACGCGACGTGAATAGTCAAGCTTAGCGACCGCGTCCGCGCGACAATGCAACACTTGCAATGGGAGGGATAGTACTATTGCTTCTAGGTCAATCAACACTGAGCGAGGGTCCGCTGCGTTAGTTTTGACCAGAAAACAAAAGGTGATCGCGCGAACGTCCGTAATGAAATAAACAGTTATTTCCAGAACACCGTCAATATGTTGTCCCAAGTGACGAGGGGGGACGACAATTTGCCGCCTAGGAAAAAGGCAAAATATAACCTCGGCTATGCAGCTGGTAAGGAAAAAAAGTTATGTGCGCGATATTTTTTTTTGGTTATGTTTATTATTATTTTGAAAACTCAGGGGCCCCAACGACGATTTCTTCCTAAATGCATTTAAAACACTTTTAACGCTGTCCAGGGTAATTAAGATCTCTAAAAATGCATTCTAAGTGGCGCTAATACATAGATCACATTTATAGTTTGTTCATACTAAATATAAAATCGTGTAATGTTAAGCGGCGAAGGCAACCAGAACTGTAAAATACAACAATAGGTCTAATTGCAGCACGCTTTCGTACATTTCCTGGCCGTTGTTTTGCACGACTACGTGAAACGTCCAGAAACTTCGTGGTTTTCACGTTGTTAACGAAATGAGCGAAAATCTTACTCTTGAGCAAACTGAAGTTTTCAGTTTGCCAAGAGGGGCACAACCTCCTCGTCACCGGTCAAGCTGGAACAGGAAAGTCAAGAGTGGTTGCCGCAATTCGCGATGATTGTCAAAAAAGCGTGGTCTACGAGTATCCGTGATTTGTTCCAGTGGAATTGCTTGTCAGGTGTATGATGCAGGCGTCGCTTCGACAGTCCATTCTTTTTACGGTCTTGGTGCTGCAGATCTGCCGGCCGAGCTACTGATTACTCGCGCATCAAGTGATGGCAGGATGTGCGAGAGAGTACATGATGTGGACGTTATAATTTGGGACGAGGCGAGCATGTCTAGTTCAAGGATGCTTGAACTTGTTAACGCTTTGCATCACAATTTAGCCGACCAAGAAAATTATGAGTTACCCTTTGGAGGGAAACAACTCATAATCGTAGGAGAATTCCTACAGCTGCGGCCAGTGCCGAGTACCTTCGATTCCGGGGATTTTATGTTTAAATCTGCAGTATTTCAATTCGCCGTCCCACATCGTTTTCAGCTGACAAAAGTAATGCGCCAATCTGAGAGCAACAAGTTGTTCTTGGACGCTTTATCTGACGTCAGACTCGGCGTATGCTCGAACGAAACGGCTGTGTTTATTGAAAAGTTATCGAGGGAATTGAGTCCACAACTGAAAATCGCCGCCACGCATATCTTTTTTAAAAAGAATGCGGTAATGTTGTTCAATCGGATGAAAATGGACGAACTTGAGGGAGATTTAATGCGTTTCGACGCAACATACGAAGGGGACGGTGAGAAGGTGAACTGGCCAGGCGAGAGATCACTTTTTTTGAAAAAAGAATGTAAAGTGATGCTACTTTGGAACAAGTCAGAAGACCTCAAAAATGGGAGTATGGGAACTTTCAAGAAAATGGCAGAGGGCAACAAGTTGCTGGTTTATTTCGAGAAAGTTGGCATTGTTGCTATTGAACGTGTAACGTGGTTTCAAAGGAACCATCAGGGAGAAACCATTGGCGCTGTTCATCAGTTTCCACTCACACCAGGATACGCGGTTACATGCCACAAATCGCAAGGGCTAGAACTCCCCGCCGTAGTAGTGCATTGCTCGAAAGAATTTGTCCCTGGTCTAGTTTACGTTTCCATGTCTCGTGTGAGATCAGCTACCACGCTGCAAGTCATAGGGTTCAATAGGACTCAAGTAATACCAGCAGACCACGAAGTTATAATGCAGTGTTCTCGAGTTACCGGTGAACACAGCGTCGATTTGAGGTGTTGCCGACGAAAGGTCACCAGGGACGAAAGCTTTTTTGATGTCCAAGATCGCTATAGATTTGCGGTTGGGGATTTAGCGGATGCTGAAGATTGTTACGAGTTTCCCATAGAGGTATCAGATGGAAAGGTGCAATCTTATTTCGAGCGTGAGGACACTGATCTCGAGGTAAGTGTCGCTCAGCTATTTGAACAGATGGAAAAACACGAGTCAGAACTATCACACCCGCCTTCGGAAGGTTTGGACGCAACACCCCTGTTGATAAAATTGAAAGTGAACACGCCCTTTTCCGAATTCAGCCGAGCCATCAACGAGAACGTGGACTTGTTGTTGGAAGAACGCTTCACCGAAAGTGTGAAGACGTTTATAGACATTATGTGGTTCCATTCATTCGTAGCCATAGAGAACCACATAATCGAAAATCCCGACGATCTATACATCAAAGTGACAAGGAGTGATTTCACAACTGCTACAGGCAAGTTGCATCAAGTATTTAACTCGGAAGAATTTTCTCGACATGTATCGAGTTTATTTAACGTTTCCCCTTGTATAACAGCCCAGCGGTCTATCGGTGTCGATCTAGGGATGGCAATGTACTTCAAATTCCTAGAGCACCTTGTACAACTTTCAAGAAAGGAATACCAACAAGAAGTGGTTGCGTTTAACGTAGACGACATGTCAGCAGCTGGTAGGGCAAAAGTTCGTCATGTTGGTGGCTGGGCCGTTCGAAAAGTTCTTGAAAAATCAAGAAGGTACGTACGGGTCAATATCTCTTCTGAAAATTCCGAAACAATGGCATCGGTGCGGCGACACCACAGTATCTGCGAACTTATTGAAGAATCCCTTGTTGGATCTGTGGCAGTGTTGGAGGAGGAGAGCCAGTACAAAGACACCCTGCAGGTGACAGAGGCACGGCAATATAGAGAAAGAGGACTGATACATATAGAGGATGCTGTGTACAAATTCTTCATGTACCTAGAGAAACAACGAGTTCATTTGTTAAACGATCATATGTTGCGCAGAGAGGGAGCAAATATGGTCGAAGAGGCCCACCGAAAGCTGATCCAAGACGACGAAATAAGTTTGAAATGGCAACAGTGTTTCAAGAGCGAGGATGTAAAGGAAAAGAAGGTGCAGATAATCGTAAAACAATCAATCCACTTGGAATTTTGCAGTCTTTAATTTTCTTTCACTTATTGTAACTCATTCATGTTCCTTTTTTAGGATTTAATACGGAATATTTTAGGATCTGTCATTGAACGCTATTTGCACATGGGAACAGCGCAGTACTTGCGCGACTATCGAAGAAGCTTCCAACTTAAAAAGAGCTCAGAATTGAGAAAGCGAGTCCTTCAGCGACAGAAAAAGAATCAAGAGAAGTCAGACAGCGTATCATTCGAGGTGAAATAAGTGTACTGTAATTTTAGAGCACCCACCTTGTCTCGCAAGTGAAAGTGGGATTCCGTTTAGTGTACCTTTACATGAAGGGGTTCTCACTGAGAGTATTGGGTAATTGGGCATTGAGAATTAACTCGCGTCTTGGATATGACTTCGACTTTAAAAGCTATTTTTTTGAAGTGTATTAGTGACTCCGGTGACAATAAACACGTTATTGCTCCCGCAGGGATTTCGCTCAGAAGGCGAACTCCCGAGGAAGCACTCTAGTAGCTTGCGCGCAAATTAAGGAAAGCACTTACAGTACTTTCAGAGGGGCCGCGAGGAATCGCTATAGTAGGTTAATGATGACGTTTTCTATTGTTGGCGCCCGCAAGTAAGAGATGGTTTAAGGATGACGTAAAACATACGGTAGTATCACAGTGGTTATCAGTGACATTCTGTGGACAGCCGTTTTGAAAGTGATGGACCAAAATTAAAGACACTCATTAAACGCAGAGGAAGTTATAAGGTGTGTATAAACACTTGGAGAGACACGAGTCACAAATCTTTGATTGGAAACAATTTGCCAGGCACTCTTCGTCGATCTCTTTGCGGAAATAAGACTCAGTCCCAAACAACTGAAACAAGCAAGACTAGTGCATCAACGGCTAGATTATCACTAGCAGAACGAAGGTCCGCGATTACAGAAATTCGAGGACAATCAAATGAACCGTTTGTACAATGAGAAAGAGAAATACTAGGCAAAAATTCCAACTTCTAATTAAATCTTTTCTTATGCTTTAGAATAAATTTAATAATTCTCCACACTGAGAATGTTTTCAGATCAAACCTGTGTAAATTGAACTGAAACTGTGCATGGAACCTTTCGTTTCCGGTTTTGACTTTCACCTATTGTATAGAGAATGTGTGAAAATCTTCATTATGAATCGGCCATGTAATATCTGCTATTTATTATGTATTTTTATTCCTAAACACAAAGGGAAATAAAAGGTTAGATGTCCGCACAGCCCCATACACTTATTATGGATACATTTTATGCCTCCATTCATAACAACTATTTGTGTGAAATGCAATGTTTAATGATGAAATTGCTGCTTGCAAGGTAAATGTATGTGGTTGTACAGTAAGTATAAAGTATGGAAAAAGTAGCAAATTGAACCACAACATTTACCGAATGCACATGTATATTTTATTGACAGGATATTCTCAAGGACCGGTCAGAACAGAAGGTTTCTTCGCATGGGCGGCTGATACATTTTATTGGCAAGTACAATGATGACCCAAGTGTCTTTGCCCGTGTTTATACAAGAGCCCAATTACTGTTGCTTTGTGAGGCCTATGAGGTCCCTATCAGACGGCGTCATACCAAGATAGAATTGGCTAAAACTCTCATTGAAGCCTTAAAGGGGACAAGATCAATACCGTTTACTGCTCCAGTGGATGACAGGGAGTTCCAGGTCGTACAGACAGTGCATGATGAAGAACATGGTGGACTGCGTATTCGGTTCAGGATAGCAGGTAGCTCCACTGGAACATTCAATCAAGGCCAATAAATTACACTCTACTCAGTTTTAGCGGTTTTGCGCCTTTTTCCGGTTGGCATTGAACAAGCTGAAGAAGAATGTTCATTAGCTGCTCCAACATTGCTTTTGGGGCTGATGGTCGTTTGACCAAAACGAATGGAGTTCTGTGTTGATTCCTGTTGTAGATAGGTTGGATTGTTATTTTGACCATTACATGATCTTACTTGACAAAAGTGATTTTCTACACCATCCTGGTTGATTATTGCAGGTTTAATTATGGATTGTGGAAATTGTGCTTGTTTCACTGCAACCATGGAACCAAAACCCAGGCACATAGATTGCAAGTCAAACCATAGTTTAGAAGAAACAAATTGGTTGTTGTTTTCTGAGCTTTCACTTCTCCAATCATTCATATATTTGTGAAACTGATTAAGTTGTCCAAGGCGAGGATCTGAATTTGATCTGATCACTAGTTTGTCATTAAAAAGATTAACCAGTCTGGATGTATGAACCAACAACGATATTGTGCTGTCGAGGTGAGAGCTGTCTTTTCCTTGTCCCATCATGTTCTCTTGGTATTTCTGTTGAAATAATCATCATAGAAAAAAAAACCTTCAAATTTTTATTAATTCAAAACATTGATACAACAATATTTTAACTTCGTAAGAAATTTCATCCTGATTTTGTTGATTATAGTTTTTTAATTGATATAGGTTTTTCATTTATTGTGGGTTATTTCTTCCGAGAGGGTTCATTTCAATGTCATGTCTTGACAAACTACGCACCTTCAGTCACTTCAACAGCTTGTAGCAATTTCAGTATTTCCAATAGGAAACTGCTCTGCAAATCTCACCTAATAATGGCACTTAAATCAAAGTTAAGGTTTGAACTGTCTTTCACCTGCATTAAAAATAGCATCTTATCGGCAAGTACATCTTCGGCTAAATGATTTCTCATTTTTGAGGCTGGGTCAAGATTGAAATGTTGGTCAGTTAACTTTTCATGCAGAGGAAGACTGAAGGACTTCTGATCCCAGTTGAAGGCATCTTTGAAATACTGCCAGGTCACATTCTTGCCCTTTATCATTAGACATCGGGGTTTACCACTTGCATTGCTCTTTTCTATATTGTTCTTGATCTTCTTTATGTTGTGCTGAGAGAAAACTTAAATTAATATGGATAAGGACCACAGTACATGTCAATGTAATTTTAAAAGTTCAACCTCATTGTAACAAACCTCTTTATAAATAAGCCCTTCAAACGACATACTTTTCCCAAGTGAGGGAAAATGTAACACATTAAGGACCTAGTTTCAAAATGTTATTCACTTTGTAGCCATTTAGTTTTACTATACACATAGCCTAGGTTGATTCTTTCCGGTTGAAATTGACTTTGAAAAATAGTAAAGTATAGATTGTTGCTATATCTTTGGAGAGGAATAAATTTTGTGCCTAAATCTACCTTTGGATCCATGACAAAAACCATTGGTGTTCCAGTGTGGATGTTTGAAGTTATAAACTTATCCTTCACAGGATCCCTTCCTCTAAAGTGCATTCTGATAAACTGTCTGTTACAGTCTGCTCCATCCATAATACTCCAATATATCCTGAAGTGGACAGAAAGAATTAGAAAGACAATTTTTTAGATTGGAGTTGAAATCTAATTTGTTATCATAGCTGTGTTTTATAGTTAGTGAATGTTTTGGTTGTGGGTAATTTGCCCAAATTCAATGAAAAATAATTTATTTTCAAGATGTAATTCCAAGAAGAGTGCCCTGCTTTGATTCATAAAAAATGTAGAGCATGTTGATTCAGATGGTGCTAATGTAATCCAAAAAAACAAAAAATCATAAGTTGAGCATCCTGGAATTACTTACATGCCTTCACTTGACTTTTTTTTCTGAATGCCTGTTACTATTATAATTATTTTCATATATTGGTTCCATCGATTCCGGAATCTCCAGATAAGGACATTAAACTCAGGGAAAGAAAGTGGTAAGTTCAGTTTTGATTCTGATATGATGTGGCTAGGATCTTTTCTTATAAGTGGGTAAAGATTTTAGAGTGCTCCAAAGCAATTCAAATTGGCCGTCATCAATTACATGAATTGGTTGGATTACTCAACCCCATTTGTTGTTTTAAAATTGACATCAATCTTTCACTATCTTATTAATGCACGTCGTTGTTAAAAATGATAATTTAATGTACTGTTATGTTGCTCTAGGATGCTAAAGTACAGGCATGCATATATGTCAAGAAACATCACAAGTCCACAGCTTACACGAAACCAAACTCCAGCATTTTCCTGACGCCTTTCCAGAAGTTAAAATAAAGATCGCTCGGGGAGCATTCACGAGATGGGAACTGTGCAACAGGAAAGCGAAATCCACTGTCACTTATGAAAATGAATTGCAAGACATGAGTGGCCAACTGTGGTTCAGTTTTACCTGTAAAAACACATAGCCAAAGTCATAATGAAATTAGGTTTTGATACCAGGTAAAGTTTTAATCAGCAAAAATAGTTTAAAAATACAACATACCAGACAGGCTTGTCATTAGATCGTGGCCCTCTCCAAGGTCAACAAATCCAACTAGCCTGTGCTTTCCATGCTTTACTACCATTTCTAGGCTCTCCTAATTGTAATATCAAAGCAAAAAATTGTTTAATATTACTTACTAATACGCAAAAGTTCGTGTTGGAATTCCTGTGTTTGTTTTTTTCTCAAATGTTGGTTTTAGCAAGCAATGGCCCTTTGTTCTAAAATTAAGATTGTGTTGCTTACAGACGGAAATAACAAGCTGAAAGTGAATGACTCACTGTGAATAATGCCTTTGAAAGAAGTATTTCATATATACAGGCTAGCCCATGCCATGTAACCTGTAGGTCAAAATCCTTATAGTTGTGTGAGCGATCCAAAATACCGATTTAGTATTATAGCAGATAAGTTTTTTTTCCGATACAAACCTGAATTTTCATTTCGTCTATCACAAAGCCTCCCCAGTAATCCTCCTCCCTGAGATTTTTCTGTTGTGCAGTCTCCAGGCACCATTTTAGCACTTGATCGTTCCAGCCAGGTTTTTCTTCCACTTTGTTCTTATACAGTCTGTGAAATTAATGAACATGGCTTTTCATTTAATTTGATTTTTCTAAATTAAAAGGTAAACATGTTCAACGTTTTCATTATGAGATCATCTTTAAATGTAAAAGGTCAAGTGTGGTCGTGTCAAATGATATGCCACAAACAAGGTTACCTGATAGTGCGGTTGCTTGGAAGAATGATAAATTTCCTAAGGGGGTCAAGGACGTGGGGGTTCTTACAATACAGGTCAATGCACAATCTGATGATCCTGTAAAATAATAATAGAATGAAATTACGTAGGCACAAGCTAACACTGACTGCTATGCACTGGTCAGCATAGCTGAGGGGAACTCGTGGGGGAGCATATTAAAACATTCAAACTTTTAACATACTAGGTGCACAAACGACGGCTTCGCCCGCGGCCTGATGGTTAGGGTAACCTAATAAGCGTATTTTTTCCTGCCATTTACTGTAGTTTTCCTTGTCGTTAAAGTACTTATGTAACACCTATTATACAGATACACCTGCGGAAAACAACTTACTTTGGGTGCCATCTGTAACCCCGCTTACTGTTGGTGGCCATGATTCTTTTCTGTTGGGTCCAGAGGCATTCCATTTCATGTGGAACTTTAGACTTGTCTATGTTGTGTAAGATTGTGGACAGATCCCTGTGATCCTCTTCCTCTAACTGCAGGGATTCAGTTTCAAATTTTTCCCTCCAGTATGTTTCCCTTCTTTCTGCATTGAATCGTTGCTTCTTTTGCTGGTTTAGTTGCAACACGACGTCTTCTTTTCTCATGTATCTTTTGTTGCAATTGCGATGTAACCCGCTACGTTTTTCCCGTCGCATCTTTTTGACATTGTGTAATTTCAACAAATGGTTACACTCTGAACAGGGCAGTCCTTGTACAGAGAATATTTTACACTTTGAGGAGAAAGCGACTGTTGATCTTTCCTGCTTTTCTTTCGACAGGTCTTTAAAAGACCCTGTAACATAAGGAACCAAAGAATCTTGTATAGAATCTCCATCTGAGAGGGATATTCCCTTGCAAAACGAGGATTTCTGAACATAGTCCAGTGCCAAATTAACTCTGCCTAGTAACGACATTGCGGCAAATCCCGGGATGTTGCTCAGATCACTCTGACATCCGTGTGCCTTTACGCTCACGAATGAGAGTCCTGTCTTCCCGTCCTGTTCAATCACAATTTCGGTGGATACTCTTGCGTTATTGACCTCCCATGCCTCTACACGAACTAAACACCAATAGTGTGGCTTGTCTCGTACAACTTTCCAATCGTCAGGAACCGTAAGATCAGCAAGTGCCTGAGAAAGAGGAATGAGGCCATCCACATCGCCACTATGGTGGGTTGGATCTTTTTTCTTCACATTCAAGTAAACGCTCTGCTGTTGCTTCCTAGGACCTCTCCGAGCTCGGATAACGGCATCTCCCCACGAATCCTTCACAATAAAACCTAAAGAGGTTGAACTTAGAGCACATCCAGCGGTGTTTTCATTGGCGGCTTGCGCTGCATGCTCTATAATATCTCCGACTGGTGTTACAGCACCGAGTTCATAAGTATAATTGGCCAGCACCCTAAAATAAATATTGAAACGCCGGGTGTTTAAAAAATCTCTGACGCGCCAGAAAGATCACTCATTGAGGGGCCCAAGGATTTGGGACGTTAATATGACATAAACCGCCCGAGCCAGATTTCAGTGGCACCAAAGGACTGTTTTTGGTAGCTTTCATTCATGTACAATTTTAGAAGCTTATCTTATAAATTCCTTCTGATTTTATTAAGTTTCAGTTTTTCGCAGCCCAGGTTAAGCTATTTTTCGTAGAAAAAGAAAACCTTAATTTTTCGGAATCAAAAAAGTGATGGAGAGAGGAATCAGAAATATTCTTACTTTCCTAAAGCTTTAAATTGCATCTAAAATTTTCGGCAAAATGTAAATATTGAAGCCCTTGTAGTTTTCCAAAAGACTCAGTTTGCCCTAGGATGACCGAACAGGTACGAATTTTATAGCGGAGCTAAAAAGAATGTGCGGCAGTGGAAAAAGTGAACAAGAACATGTACGACATTCCCCCCCTAAAACGTGAAAACCAAGAAGTTTCTGGACGTTTCACGAAGTAGCCATGCAAAGCAACGTCAAGGAAATGTACAAAAAAGCGTGCTGCATGCAATTAGACCCATTGTTGTATTTCACAGTTCTGGTTGCCTTCGCCGCTTAACATTACACGATTTTATATTTAGTATGAACAAACCATAGATATTATCTACGCATTAGCGCCACATAGAATGCATTTTTACAGATCTTAATTACTCTGGACTGCCTTAAAAGTGTTTTTAATGCATTTAGGAAGAAATCGTCCTTGGAGGCCCTGGGTTTTGAAACGAATAATAATCATAACCCCAAAAAATATCGCGCACTTAACTTTATTCCTTACCATAGTTTCCATTCAGCTGCATAGCCTAGGCTGGATTTTGGCTTTTTCCGAGGCGGCAAATTGTTGTCCTCCCTCGCCACTTTGGACAACATATTGTCGGACGTTCGCGCGATCGCCTTTTGTTTTCTGGTCAAAACTAACGCAGCGGACCCTCGCTCAGTGTTGATTGACCTAGAAGCAATAGTACTATCCCTCCCATTGCAAGTGTTGCATTGTCGCGCGGACGCGGTCGCTAAGCTTGACTATTCACGTCGCGTATTAAACCTGGTCGTTCGCGGTCATATCGAAGCGTAAAGGCCAACAGTGTTTGTTGATGAGCGAGCGATTATTGTGCAGTTGCGATGGGTTTTGTGGAGCAAGCGAGCAAGGAACCGGAGCACACGTTACCTGCAGATTAGCCGATGGTTATTTGGAGCGGATTCGTCGATTATTCTCGAATTTATAGCGCTTCGTGTGAAGGCGCGTGGAGATGGTCTGTTTGTTTTGTAGCCAGCCTTTAATTCTTCTTTAGTGGATAGTACCTACAATTTCAAAACTCAACAAAATGCCACTTTAACCGGCCAGGAAAGACAAGGATACGTTCAGTTAAAGGTATCTTAACTTTGTTTTGTTATATTTTGACTTTTGGACTATTTTAGTTCATAGGAGTTTCGACGACTCGTCGCATTAATTTGTCCATGTGGATATTAATATATTCATTCAGTGACACATACTACGTCTGGGCCGCCTGTGATTAAACTGCGTGTGTTTTTATGCTTCTCTTTAGTTCAGTAATGTTTTGGACTCATGATCATGAAGCCATTCTATGCAGAGAAGTCGTCAATGTAAATCCCTACACAACTAAGAAAGGGTCAACACAAAGAAGTAGAATGTGGGAAAAAATAGCAGACAACTTGAACAAATTCACTGTGCCGAAATTCAGGGTTCATAAGCGATCAGTCCGAGACCACGTGGGAATCCTTGTTTACAAGCATAAGAAGAAACTTCTAGCGGAGGAAAAAGCAACTGGGATAACTCCCGATGAGCCAACGGAACTAGAAAACCTCTTGGATATGATCATCGCGTTGGAGGAAAGTGGCGAAGCGGAATTACAGGAAACACAGGGAACAGCTAGCAAAAAACGTCAATACGATCGGGCTAAAGTGAAAGATGTTAGACTAAAAGCGATGGAGAAGCTGTCAGAGACGAAGAAAAGAGGTTCATCAGAGGATGAAAGCGATGACAAACCGAAGCGTCAACCAAGAAGTGGAGGTGATGCTATCGAACAAAGCACAAACAAAGCATTTCTTGGACTTTCTTAAATGATGCCATGGCTATTTCTGCGAAAGAATCGCCGAAGAATCAGACTGATAAAGAGCGGTTTGCAGCCGCGTCGTCTTGCATCGCGACCGAGATCTTAACTTTACTTTTCGCGCGCAAACGACGGCGTTCTACAGGTCCAGTCCTTTATCAGCCACCGCGTTCTAGAAGTCGTCGCGTCCCAGATCTTAAATCTTCGCTGTCGGTTCGCCTTCCATTTTGGTGGTTTGAACATGCAGGGCCGTTTTTTTGTGAAGATGAGCGAGGAGAGTGTGATAGATTGCGGAGATAGACTGCAGGGAGGAATAATAGTTCGAAAAACTAAGGAGTTCAGTGTTCACTCTTGGACCTCTTGGCGACTCGAATGCACACTGAGTGTTTCAACAATCATTGAGAAGAAAGAACGCCTATTTTAAACCGTGGATCCTTGTTGTTTCGTAAGTACATTCTGAATCTTGTTTAAATATATAGAAGCATATTTAAGTCTATGTAATAGCTTTGGGTGTCGATCATAAAAATCGTTTCGCATGTGACCTTACATAAGCTTACATGTTTCATGCGACAGCGAGTTGCTCCCTACAGATCTGACCTTTGTATGCTGCCTGTAGTTTCTTTGATAACATCTACCCGTAAAGCACGTGTTTGTCTGATTTCTTTTGCAATAAAGACATAGTTGCTGCTTCACCGAAAAAGAATTTTTCTGTATACTAATGCACATTTTAATGGCGAAGATGGCAGCCGTAAAACATGAATCTCGAATGAGGAAACGGAATCCCGGAACGGAGTACGGAATCAAATATCAATGACAGAAAAATATTTTATAAAAATTCCGTGACACTGAAATGTACAAAACATTTCCACTCCAGTTTCTAAGAATGTAGATGTTTATCACAAGGATAAACCTGTACGAAAATAATATTTAATGTTCATATTAATTTTTTGCATACAATGTGCATTTCCTTACTAGATTTAAAACGACATATACAATTTGCAGGGACCAATAGGAATTGTTCAAAATTGAAATATATGTAGCACTTGTTACGAGACTTGTACGGTTAAAAGGAACCTTTTCTCTTTGTGTATGTTCGCAATGACAAGTTTAATATGATGGTGCAGAAAAGTTTCTAAAAAGTCACAAGATTATAGAGGGATATCATTTCCTTACACTCCAATTTGTCATTAACCTTTGAACACAAGAATAACAGCTTTATTTGATGACTGTTGCAACAGTCACCAGGAGATAAACAAGAATATTATTCAGGAATATAATTTCCTTACACTTCAATTTGTCGTTAAGCTTTGAACACAAGGAAATATGTAACGGCTTTATTTGATGACAAAGCAACCTTCATTGACACAAGTAAGATGCCCATCTTTGAGTGGGAAGTTGCAACTCTATCTATCCATCTTTGAGTGGACAAAGTAGTGCTTGTGTCAATGATATTTCAAATGTTGCAACAGTCACCAGGAGATAAACAGGAATATTATTCAGGAATATAATTTCCTTACACTTCAATTTGTCATTAAGCTTCAAACACAAGGAAATATGTAACGGCTTTATTTGATGACAAAGCAACCTTCATTGACACAAGTAAGACGCCCATCTTTGAGTGGGAAGTTGCAATTCTATTTATCCATCTTTGAGTGGACAAAGTAGTGCTTGTGTCAATGATATTTCAAATGTTGCAACAGTCACCAGGAGATAAACAAGAATATTATTCAGGAATATAATTTCCTTACACTTCAATTTGTCATTAAGCTTCGAACACAAGGATATATGTAACAGCGTTATGCGATGACAAAGCAACCTTCATTGACTCAAGTAAGATGCCCATCTTTGAGTGGGAAGTAGCAATTCTATTTATCCTTATTTGAGTGGACAAAATGGTGCTTGTGTCAATGATACTTTCAATTTTTGAAAATGCCACAAGGAGATCAACTAGACGGTTATATAGTGTTTTTATATTGTTACACTTTAATTCTGTATTGTGCGTCAAGCACTTGGATAAGGGCTTTATTTGATGATAAAAGCAACCTTCATTTTTTAAATATTTGTCTTTGTAATGCACTACCAGAAAACTGCCTCATTTTAAGCTCTCTAGTTTTTTTAGAACCAGGCTGTTACAATAATATACATATACATGTATTAGTATTTTGATATAAATATTTGACATTTTCTTTTGGTCTTTATTTCTTTGAGGTATAATGATGCGGAGAACTAAAACATTGAGGGTATTTTGGTTAATGAAGTGAGGGGGAATTTTGGGTAAAAGAAATGGCCCAAAACAGAGAAAAAAGGTAAGTTGTACACTTTTCTAAGTTTCTTGAATTTGGTACAGTGAAACCCTGCATTACGGCCACCTCGCTAATACAGTCACCTCGTTATTACAGCCACTTTTTTTGGCAGCCTGGCAAAAACCACCATACATTTTCTTGTAAAAAAACCCTCATTAATACTGCCACCCCATTAATATGGCAAACATTTTTTGGCCCATTGATGACCGTATTGACGGGGTTCCACTGTAGTTTCTTGGTGTTGCCAACAAGTGCAATCTCCTAATGACATAAATACAAAAGATTCAAAAGCCACTAAATAATACCCACACCAAAAGCAGGAGGAAACCAACAATATTCTTTTAGCAACACCAAGAAGCACTCTTAATTCCTTTCCTAGAGACCTGCACATTTAACATGCTTTCCTTTTGCTAGGGGCCATTTTGAAGTACTGGAGTCAGAGAAGTAGCCCCCAGACGTGGTAAGGTGGCAAAATGGAAAACCTGAAGAACACAGAGTTTGGACAAGATGCCAATTTGAGAGCTAAAAAGGTAGGTAAAATACATGTACATTATTTTGTTAATGCTTGCAGTGCAAATATTTCTAATGTGTAGTTTAAGTCATCCACTTAGTGATTTATTTAGCCTGTCCTGTAACAGAGATGTGCTTTGGCAGTGCCTGGTGGCCCCTGTTGCATTACTGTTGCTCTTGGGTGACAAGGAAGTCTTAGTTTGTTCAAACACATTTATCCTGGGTACCTGGATCTTTCAGGTTAAGGGCACAAGGGTCTTTCATTTTTTAAGGAAACAACACATGTTTTGCATGTTTGTCTTATGCATACATAATTTATGATTGTTATAGAATGCACGAGTGTCACACCCTACCCCCCTTTGACATTTTTAATGTTAACAGTGTCCTTCCCATTTATATGCAAGGTTTCATTGTAGTGTAAATTGCTCAGAGTAGAGAGCAAGAACCAAATCTAAAGATTCAAAATAGTCAGGGTGACTATTTTGCCAGACTAAACTGTTGCTGAAGAACAAAGTAAATGTTAATTAAATGTTTATCACAGTAGTCATGCCACTGTGACTAAATATGTTTTTTTGGTGTTCAGAAATTGACGAATCGCACAGACGTGTTGGACAAGGCACACCTTTCTCCAGATGACAAAGCCAAAACAAAGGCTTTATTTGACCTACACAAGGCTATCCAGGAGAGTGAAGACAATGAAGAGGGGGGCAGTGATCCACCACCCAGGTACATCAGGCCACTATGCTCAGAGAGGTCAAAGTTAAGAAACATCAATGCTGTTCTTGATGCCTTTTGTGAAGCTTGCATGTCAAAGAGGCAAAGAAAGAGCAGCTGGGAAAATAACCAGAGAGGTTGATAAATACTTGTCAGACAGACCAGTACCAAATAACTGCCCCTCATGGGCAAGATGCCAATAATACCAAATTAGTGAAATGGCTACAGTGATCACTACTATGGCAACTGGGAGTATAAAGTCCAAAAAGGACGCCGTGTGCATGATGTCCAGAAAATGACCTTTAGCCGAAGCACAAAATGTGATGGCATAGTCGATTCTACATGAGTATAACATTCTACTTTTCCCCTATTTTTCACTGGTTTAAAACCTATCATATTGTTTTACTCTTAATCAAGAAAGTATTTAACACTTCTAGTTCACTGGGCAGTAATTTAGTCTTCGCTGCGTTTTACTAACAACAAAACCAAATGAGCGAGAAGCCCTGTAGTGACTTTTGGGTGCCACTTGCATAAAGTTGAAATTTGACGGGCAACAGTGACATACTCTCTTCAGGACTCTAATCCACGACCATCATAGTAGAGGTCACTGTAGCAATTTGCTTAAAGTCCCTAATGTATTATTGTGCCTTCTTTAGTCAGGATGACCCTGTGATGATCAGCTTTAACTAAATTGCACAATCTTATTGGAAAGGTGATAAGAGTTTTATTCTTTAAGACAATCTTTACTCGACTGTGTTCATTAAAATTGCTGAAATTCCAGGACAGTCAATGGATTATCCTAAAACTATAAAACAGGGAATGTAAGATAGATGCATTGTGAAAGTGAGTCACTTGTTAAAAGTGCACAGTTTGTCATTATTATTCAAACTCAAATGTAGGCAAATTCTCGTAGACTACTTTGTATGCCACAGCCAGGTCCAAGTTGCAGCCATGCAGTTACAGCAGAGTGGGGACAAAAAGTGAGATACATGTGTAGAGATGTTGGTTCACACATTTGTATATAAAGCCTATGGCTAGTTTTGTTTGCAACACTATCGTCTTTGTAGCATCAGTCTGATACTCCCCAATGATGGCCTCTCAGCAGTTTGTATAGGCTTTAACAATAATTTTTGGGGATGATCCACCAAGTACTGGTACTTGCTATGGTATGATATGGTATAAGAATTAAGCCAGCAGTTTAGATTTCCTAATGAGATTGTATGCAGTCTTACATGTAACTAAGTAAGACTTTTATTTGTAATATTGTTCGTATTAAATTATGTAATAGTTTTGCTGTGAACTACTTCTTGGAGTTATTTTTGGGATGGAAATGCACGTTACTTATAATAATGTTAGTTACTTAATTATTACACAGTCAAACCTCTTTAATACGGACACCAAAGGGACCGAACCAAGTGTCCGCTTTACAGAGGTGTCCGTATTATAGAGGTAGGGAATGTATGATTTTGGCATTTCTGGGACC